CCGCATCGGCGGGTCAGGTTTCATCTGACAACAATACAGGTCACGCATTGCTGTCACAAAACCAGTAACCCAAGACCAGGAATATGGAAGCCTGCATTGAGGAGCGAAGCTCAACTCAATCCACTCGATCTATGGCGCTGCTGTTTTCAAACATACTCGACCAAACACACCTCAGAGAGATGAGTTAAGGAGCTTGTAGACACCAGAAGGGTGCAGCAACGCTACAAGTAGCGCGCACTTAAACCCAGCGCCCATATTCTAGACAAGAGGCGCTGTCGCAAACTATAGCAGCTGAGCTAAAACAACTACATCTACGCAGTTCTACAGCTATTTAAAGCATCCTGTAGGTTAAACAAATCTTAAACCGCATGTCCTAGTTCATAGCATGGCAGCAAAAAGAACGCAACCTCCTCCAGAGGGCAGCCCTGAGCAAACCCATGAACTTGTAAGGCAAGCTGTGCACTCGGCAATGCAGCGACCTCTGATCTCACGATTTTCTGTCACCTTAACAGGGCACCACTTGCTGTATTTTGCCGCGCCTCCTCTCCTGCTCAACTCAATGATCTGGTTTAAATTGCTGCCGTGCGCTTCGTAGGTCCATAGAACTTGGCTTTCTCGTCGGAAGTCTGGAAGCGGCCATGGCCCCACTTTGAGGAGGTATCGATGAATTTCAGGTGAATATTTTCCAGAGCCCTGCGAGAAGTACGCGGTACGAGGGTCTTGCGCATTGTTATAGGTCTCTTCTTGCAGCCCACGATGCAGCCCTTGATCATGATGAAATCGCTCCTGACCTCTCCATAATGAGGGAAACCACCCATCGGCGTGATACGCTTCTCGGTGAGATCAGCGTCGGTGGAGCCATTGCGAGGATCGCTGCCGCTGCCAATGCGATACACTTTCTTGTTCATCTCCGTGCGGTGGAAGTAGCCCTTTTGACCGTGACGCGGCACTTGGAACTGCACTCTGGCAGGGTGCCAGGCTCCAATGCATGCAACCTTACGCAAGCCACGATGGGTCTTGCGAGGTAGGCGGGTCACACCGAAACGAGAAACCACGCCCTTCACCCCGTGGCCCTTTGTCACACCAATCACGTCCAGCATTTCATCTTGCTCGAACACGGCGCTTATCGGCACTGGTGATTCGAACATCTTGGTCACGAAATCAACCTGTGTGCATTTCAACAAAAACTGGAGAACTTGACAATAGAAACCACCTCTACAAAACGTAGATTTTATTAAGAAATAGCGCCAAATTGAAACGAAATAAGAATCGTTCGCCAAATGCATGCTCGTGAACCCATGAACGCTGGACTGTTCGGCAAGCAACTTCATGCTGTTAGCAAAGTTCCGAATTCTCCTCTCACCTTCTCTGCAACAGTACCACCATTGACCTGGATCTCCATGATGTGCGCCTTTCTGAGTCCTGTGGGAGTCTTGCTAGGCTGTGTGTGGCAGATCGCCCTAATAACCGCACAATGCTGCTTTATGGAGTCGATTTCAGCCTGCATCTTGTTATTCTCAGCGTATTTTTTCGAGTAACGAGTGAATGCCTTCTTTTTGCTCTTGTACCAGTTCTTGTAGAACCGACGCCGGCACTCTTCGCTCAAGTGTCCAGCCCAGACAGTCGATAATGCACGTAGGCCCTGGGGAGTCTCAATGTAGCCAACCAAGCCGACGCAGACCATTGGAGGCGACTCCACAATTGTGACCGCCTCTACAACCTCTTTTTTGTGCAGCTCTGAGTATATAAAAAAGCACGTCGCCCCACATTAATCCTGATTCATAAAAGCCAGTCACCATGAACAACCTAACACGCTCATTTCAACGCATTGGCACTTCCATGCCACTCCCCAGTATGTCCCCCATAAGCCAATGAATTTTCACCTGACGGCGATATTGGCAATACATGTCATGCACTGCTTTGGGACAACCACTAATCGCGCATTCAGAAGAGATCAACTCAAACCATCCGATCTACGGAGCTACTGCTCCCAAAAAGTCTCAGGGAGCCTTTTGGCTAGCAGAATTGCAGGATTGATGATAGTTCCAATTTAAATCCATCACATCGATATCCTGAACGATCCATTTCTCTAGAAATACATCATCAGCAAGATAGTAGGACAAATGACACAAATGCAGCTATCAGATGGTGATGCATGGATTCCTAAAATCGTCATGCTGGATCAGACGAATGGGTGAAAGTGTTATCATCAATCGGCTTGATCAAGCTGTTGGGGAGATCAGCAATGAAAATATGCAACCAAAAACGGGTACAGAACAGAGATCTCACATCAAACGCACGGAGAAGAGCACCAAACAAACTTCGCGTGAAAAAATCGGCGCCAGTGCGCTATCCTCAAAAGCAGGCTTGCACTCAGACCAAAAGGCGTGCCCCATTCAATGCGATGATTTCTCAACAACTATCCTAACTGTTAACACATTAAGAACAGCCATCCAAACTCTCCACAGCAGTCCGCACACGTTTAATCCGTTAACTACGAAGGTACCAAAAAGAGTCCTAGTCGGGGCGTAGCCGCCCAGTCCAAAGTAGACTGTTGTTATGTCCAGTGCGTAACGACAGTGTTTTGGTCATTGGGTTCTGGTCCTTATACCTTCGGACGTAACTCCTCGCTTCGAGTTGAGTTAGGTGAGCTAGATACCGCGACGACAAAAGTTTGTATGAGTTGGTTTGTGTGGAGTCTCTCTACTCAATTCCTCGAACATCTGTCGTCTTCCCACGTCGTTGCGATGTTCATCGCGCGTAAATTTGGGTCGCGGATGCACTCCAACGCCAATGAGCAGCCTCCTACAAAGCACAAGAATCTCTGTCGGGCGCATACAACAGATGTGCGGTGAACCCATAACGTACTTGAACCAGGACGCTCCACCTCGCGGACAATGTGCGTCATGCCGGCCTTGTAGCCCATGAAAGCAGTGAGGTGGGGAGGCTTCGAAGGGTCATCTTTGGGGAATGCCTTTACTGAATACAGAGAAAATGCATACAAGATGGAACTCGATGGAACGAGAGTGGTTGACTTCAGTAACGCGCACTTTCCCGCAAGTGTACGCTGTTCCGGGGATTACTCATCTGCCGGCACTGGAAAGCTACGATGCGCATAGTAGCAAGAAAACTAATGACAACAGATCTACTGCCTTCCACAAGAGGGAGAAGAACCTATCAACCATCTATCTGCACCGTTGCGAGGCTGAAGGGTGGTAATCGTGCTCTAAACTGGCGGCTCTCTGCGATTGAAGAATCGACCAATAAGGCTGCAACATGTAAACTGCAGCACTTAGTAATTTTGGTGCTTTAGTAATCAATTCAGCCGAAACAGCTTGATCAAACTACCTACCTTTTCCCCTATGGCGGCGGCAGCGCTTCCGGGGGCAGAAGCCCAGAGAACCGTGGCGCGGCCTTTCGAACTTCCTGTGGGACATCTTTGAGTAAAAGTGAAAAAGAATCCTACAGAATTCCACAGGAGTCAACCCTAAACTCTTCTCTTTCCTTTCCCCCACACGGCTTTCTAAGCTGATGGTAGCTGGGGGTGCGCCTGCCTCAGCCGCAGCCATTGCAACCCCCACAGCCTCTGGCTGCGCAGCTCTGGGCCTGTTGGTAGGCCATGCATGCGCGGACCCCGCTACAGAGAAATGAAGGTAAAATGAATGCAATTTCTGGTTCTTTACTTTCTCAAAGGATTTCACGTCATCTTTAGGGAGTGTTTGTGATTTAAGGCTTGGTATGGAAGCTCCGCAGTGTAATACACACCACTAGGTAGAGGTCGTGTGCATCTAGATACACTGGGAAGCTCTTGCAGGAGATAGCCATGGCCAGGACCTTGAGATTGCCTTTTTGAACGATAATAGGTTTAGGAGAGCTTTTGCTCTGGATTTAGGGACAATGTCATGCAACGATTGCCTTGAAAACGTCTAGCTGCATGTGTGTAGGAGAGAAGTGGCCTCATCTTCGCCAAGCAGAGATCAGCTTGAATTTTACAGATAAATCCTTTATTCTGAAATGAGTAACGAACGGAACAGCTGAGGCTCTTCCCGTGCAAGTCATGGTATTGGAGCCCTGGCGTACATAATTGCAGCCTGCGAAGAAAAAGCCTCTTAAGACCTGTTGTGTGCATACGCTAATTACGAAGTTAGTGACTAAGATGTATGCAGAAAAAAGTATAGCAACTAATACAATGCGAGCTCACAGGGCCTAACAGACACCACAGCGAATAAGATATGCCGAAATTAAGTCTCTAAACTCGTGAACGGCTGGGGGCATCCACCCCGCCCTGCAAGCAACCTTTTGACGAGCTACGCTAGTATTATACCACTGAAGAGCTTCAGAAGTATTAAGAAGGCTGGTTTGGTAGGGCATTGCTTCCCAGCTCACTTTACAGTATGCGGAAGCGACCCATATGACTAAACAAGCAATTTTTGAAGGGCGCTGGACGCGTGCCTGTAACCATCGTTAAGTGAGGCTCCCAAAACCCCGTATATTCATCTGGAAGGGGTTTGCGTTAAAAGCGTGCAAAGGATGTTGCCAAAGTGCGAGAAGAGTAGAGCAAGGGCAACATTGTTCCATACTTGTCGAATGAGAGCTCTTGCTTCGCTTTGCTTCATCAATTCGCTGAGGCTATAACTCTCCTTCGTGCTGCTTTCTTTCCGGGGCACCCTTTTAGTCGTCTCAAGAACTGGAGTTCTTACAGGAAGCCCTTAGCTTATCCGTAGTTACTACCCATGCTGATGCTTGTGCTGTCCACTGTCTCATACTATAGTCGCAGCACCGCAGTCTCTATGCCTGCCCTATGACTTCAAAACCTTGTAAGGGGTGAAAAGTACCCACTTATATTAACTGCAGCCAGTAGAATGCTAAGGTTCACGGGGGTGGCTGCACGCCAAGCTATTATATAATACCAACCAACTCACTGTTTGCCGCGACGATGGGGTTCAGCTAAACGGTCATAGGAATAACGGAGGTGGCTGCATGCGAAGCTAATATATAATACTAACCAACTCACTGTTTGCCGTGATGGTGGGGTTCAGCTAAGCGCCCATAGGAACAAGAGACTGACACAGCTACATATAACACGGTGAAACGCAAAAGGTTTAGTGCATACCTGGTGGGAAAAGGTTTCGAAAAGTTTGAGAGATAAGCGCATTAAGCAAGAGAACAGAAGGGGGGAGGCTAATACCGTCTACAGGGCCGCGCCATAAAGGGGCTCAGAGGTTTCTTCTTAGCGAGCTACAGTCGCGGTAGCGGTGGGTCAGACTTTGAGAAACTTGGAAAATATCAGGGCAGAACTACTTTGATAGTAGTGCCAAGATACCCCACTGTGCCAGTGAGCTTGGGCAAGTTTGCTGCTGAGCCAGACCTTACCGCCTACAGCGCGCTCCAATCCGTGCCTTTTGGAGTCTGTGTATGCCTTGTGCTTTTAATATACACATACGATATAATTGTGTGCATGGCCATGGGACTGTCGACCCCACTGTGCCAGTCAGCTTGGCTAAGTTTGCTGCTGAGCCAGAGCTTACCGCCTACAGCGCACTCCACTCCGTTCCTTTTGGAGTCTGCGTATGTCTTGTGCTTTTCATATACACATACGATATAATTGTGTGCATGGCCATGGAACTGCCAAAGTAGTTTAGGCACAGGAGGGGTTGTGCATGCCAAGCGACAGTCATTCTTGAGGTCCATACCCGTGAGACTGCTTTGTAGAATCATGACTTGAAGTGTAAAGATTCTGTGAAAGCATGGTATTTACAAACTTATACTAGAATAGCCATATTGAAGGCCACTACGGGCGGGGAAGCAACGCCTCCCGCCCCCTTCCGCCCCGCTTCTCGTACTGAAGGTACGACCAAAGCATCTGCACCGACATACAAAGTATATATTCAGTTTGACTGTCTGTCTGTGGGTAGTTAGTAGACGACCTGTCCCGCATGATGTTGAACTGGGTGCACAACTGCTAGTACAGCTACAGTAGTACTGAGAGGCATTGCCAAACCGCCCTACGGACCCGTCCCTGTGCATAATTTACACTTTAACCTGATTGAGGACTATGTCAAAAACTCAGTTAGGCTCCTATACGTGGGTTGCGTGCCCAATTGTAGTACCCCACACCTGGGAGCGCTAGTGTGTCACAATTCTAGTGAGATGCGCCAGAAATGGTTGAGCACAAAAGACTTACGAATGCCTATGTTGGAGTGTAAGTGGAGACCAGCTCTCCAGTTATGGCTTTTGCACTCTGGCTTCAGTGAAACCCATTGATTCTTCAATCGCCATGTATCAAGATGAACAGAGAAGAGCCTCTCAAGTGCCCAGTATTCGTCACAGTATTTCGGCCTTCCAGGGTATAAACAGCCTTTTATAAGTTGTACGCTTAAACTTATGTGAAAAATAACGCCATGGCGCATTGAATCACAGTGCAACGATGAAAGTACTGAAGACTCCGGGGCTCATCGTTGTTGCGGTGCCGAAACTTTGTCAGCCCCATAACGTATCTGCGCCCGATTTGCCCGATATACTTCAAATTCAGTTCTTTAAATTGTTTATGTAGCTGAAGACGGACCTCCAGCAGCCGCATGTCCCAGTGGTGACTCTAGGGTTCGTGCAGGGCGCTTCGGGCGCCTTCCTGTTTTCTCAAGGCAGCAAACAACGTATCGCAGTGTTTCAAAAGTAGTCAAGGACTGAGATCACACTTTTCTAATCTTGGTGCTCAAAAAATTGGCACTAATCTACAGGTCGAAGGACTGACACTGTTTCCCCACAAATGGGCATTCATGGTTACACCGATACAGCGATTTCACACCACAGGACAAATTGCCCCTAAGCTAAGTGTCGACCTCACCGCGCTTCTTTGCGCCAACTTCCTGCTCTGAATAAAAGTGGGTTCTGTTGGACTCTCGTTGTGCCATTCTAATGCCTTAAATAGGCACTGAATACCGTATCAAGGAGGCTGGACCTCTCTGGTCTTCTGTCAGCAAGAATGCTCCACTTACACCTGGTAAATATGCTTCTGAGCCCAGGGGGTGTTCTAGATGCTCAGTAGGCATTAGCGTTATTTCGGTGGGCACTTTTCGTTTCCGCAGTTCGTGAAACTGGGGTGACGGCGCCCGTTAAGGATTGTGCAGAGAAATCTACCTAAAAGTGCTTCTCCATCAATTGCCATTACGACGGCAAGTTTGAATTTACATTTGCGCTCGATTTGACCCTATCCGAATTTACGTATTAGAGGTGGAGACGCGCATGAAGTTCTTTTGGTGCTGCCATGGAGGCAAGTCGGAGTCATACTTCCCAGCAACGAACCTTATCGGACAAAAATAATCTTCAACAGAGCTTCACAGCCCAAGAATTTGTCAGAGATGCGGGACCCATAGAACTTTACTTGCTTCATCGGCAAGCGAGGAAAAAGCCGTCGGCGCCGTCCGCTTTCCTTCTGTTAGCAGTGACACTAGCATCCTTAGCAACGACATACGTTCTGATTCGCTGCTTTTATGCCATTGCGTATATTCAGCGGCATGGTACCACGCATAGGCTTTTGGCAAGCGGCGGCTTTTATCTGGACTACTCTTGTTTGGGGGAAGGAGACCAGGATGAAGAAGAGGAGGAGTCGTATGCGCTGCAAGTTCAACGCGAGGGAGCTTCCGTATCGTTGAAAGGGGATGAATCGCCAACAGCACCTCCACGGGTACGGGATGATAGTGACCTAGACAAATGGGGAAATCGGCAGTTGCCTGAAGACGTACGAGACAGATTTGCATCCTTCCTCCAGCGCATCGAGCACAGTGCTGTCCTCTGTGAGGCACTGCTGCCAATGCTCAAACCTGAACACGCTATTCAAATTACAAATGTAATGTTGAGGATACTGGTGGCTCAGCTCGGTGTCCTATCGCTGAATCCGCCGGATCTAGAGCCTCAAAGGGCACAGGCAGGTGGGAGACTGCTACTTTTGGCATATAGAGGCAGAGAACGGTCCGGCTGTTACACTTATCTACAGTTTTTTCTGAATGAAAACGTTTGGCTGCGGAATCTAGCTGAGGCAGTGTCAATGCCTCGCGCAGACGCCCTTGAAATGGCCCCCCATCATCATAAAAAGAGGGTTACCGGGGTCCTTCGAGAGATTTCGATTGTAAACATTTACATCGTGGCTGCCTTGGGCGGTTTAGAGCGTATGAGCCGAAGAGCTGTAGGATACTTGGATGATTCCGCTGTAGAAACCCAACTGCGCGTATTGGAGGCTGTTCAGGGTGTGCAGCTTCGTCGCTTCTTGACTGACAAAACGACTCACTGGTTTCTTCGGTACTGTCAAAGGAGAACCCATAATTACATACTTTTCACGCGAGAGCAAGAACAGCTTTACGCGTCAAACAATTATACTTCAATGAAAGAGTTTCAAAACGAACTAGAACAGAAGGTACAAGAGGCTGGAGGTCTCCCTTGGAACCCAAATTGCACAAATATAGACCTAAGCAGGGGCAGGTCAAGGTACAGAAGAAGGCAATACCGAGAGACACCAAGTTCCGGTTCTCATTTTGAGGTGCTGCAGGGCACAAGTGGTTTCCCATCAGGCCACTCTCCAAGTCTAGGCGACTGCGGAAGTACTACTGGTGGAAGCAGTCAACAGCGTTTAGCCACCTCTGTCGACCATCTCATCGGCGCGCGTGAGTTTGAGGAGGCCGCTCTAGTTTCCGGAAAGCCTCCTGGTTCTCGCTTTGGAGCTCAGCAGCAACAGAGGGACCAAGGTACTACACAGCCACTTGTACAAGCAACACCTTGGCCGGCAAGCGAGCCACATCACGCGAAGCCACGCGGTTCTTCCAACTTAACGCTCGAAGGTCTTTTGGGGCAGCATAGAGTGGAAAATAATTCAGGTTCTCATACGCTTCCCCACCCTGGCTCTCGTAATGCACCACTCACTCAAAGCTTTGTGCAGCCAACTGCGCACCATGGTACACGACCACGTATTTCGACGCCAGGACTTCCGATCTTATTTTCTTCAGCGATTCCAGGTGGAGAGCGCAGGAGGTCAGGTGCCCCTAACAGCATGCCTTCCCAGACCGCTGCTTTTTCAGGTTTTGGACGTCAGCAAAGTTTTGGGAGCGACATGGTGTTGCAGACGACACAAACAGGTCGAAGCCCAACTTTGCCAGCTACTCTGGTCCGTGGTTCATTTCCCGGAGAACCAAATTTCCCATGGATGCCAACGCATCCACCTTCAGCCCCTCGAAGCACGCTGCCTCGAGCGCAACATGGATTCTCCGACACAGCTGCACAACGGTGGTCGTACGCTGAGATTATTCCGCCACCAAGCACAGCACAAGTTCCCCGAATAAGCGGAAATTCACATCAGGACCAATGGATCCCCGAAACTGGCGATAATAGGATCACCGGCACCTCTTCACCATGGGGGTCAATGAGCGAGCCTTCAGCTCCTTCAAGCATGCTGCCTGCAGTTGGACATGGAATATCTTCAGTACACCTGCCCGCGCAGCCAACTCTGTCTAGCACAGCACAAATGCTTCGCGGAAGCGGAAAAACCGGCCAAGCGCATCATGAGCGATCAACTACTGTTCCAGGGAAGTCGGCGGCGACAGCGTTGGCAGGTGCTTTTGGCTCTGGGGGCCTCCAGAGACTTCAACTGCAGACAGGAAATTGGATCCCACCTTCCTATCATCCGTGGCTTACTGGGGACTCCGAAGCAGTTTCCGCATATCCTTTGTTTCACCCACCTTTCCCCACACAATGGCAGCGACGTTCATCAGGACCCATGTCACAAGCGACAGGTCAGGGGCTTGGCAGTAGTTGCTCTCCGTTTGCAACGCAAGCAGCAATAATGCAGAGTAACACATCATCTGGTAGTTCGCTGCCGGAAGTGAGTAGCAGCGTGGATTTCAACAGCACCTCTGGCAGAGCTGGTGAAAGTGAAGTTCCTAGCCAGCTGCCGCCTACGACAGTAGGTTGGCTTGGTGGTCAGCCCATGCAGCAACCTCCTAAGAATCAGGGACAAGAAGAAGACGAGACGGTTCTCAATGAACTTTTAGAGGCTATTGAGAAGTTTGGAGGCGTAGATTCTGGCGCCGAAGGTCCGTTGGAGAACAGCTAAGCGTTTGGTTGTGTTGCACCAAAACTCAGTACGAACGTCATTGGATGCTCAGTGGAACAAATAGGTGAAAGCTGTCTTGTTACAGGCATCGCTAGAATGCCTGCGTGTTTCGCGCGTCGACAAAGTTCAAAGCATGACATGCAGAAGCCGTTTATGTGGGTCCTGCAATGCATGCAAAAGCATCGGATTCGTGGCAGGCGGTGCTTTGGCCCTCCGTGCGCATAGCCTCTTTCTTCTGTACCTGGTACAAATGCATGTGATTACGAGACTACCTAATAACACCATGTGATTTTTTGTATCGAAGACTCTCGCTGCCCGGTTCTACCATGTGCCGTCATGCTTTGGTCAGCGTGATGTCTTCAATATGGAGGCAGTCTTGAGAGCAGGGTTTTGTGACTTCTCTGCAGTTGCTGCTCCGTTAGCCTCTAACGTGGCATATAGCATATGCGCTTCGTAGCGGGATGAAGCTCATAATCAATTCTCCGGTGCGGCGAAAATTGGTATGAGCTTAATCCGGCTACCAAGAGTTATATCCACCCCTTTCAGCGCGCGTCTCCACAGTGTTACTTTGCAGCAAATGTATCTAGTAATCACTTCCAAGCGGGATCTGGGCTTACCGTTCCATGGGATTCTACAGGTGCATACGAGGAGATATGCGATGAGCAACCAGAGCATTAGCTTTCAATGCAGTGGCGTACTGTTGCATTATAGCTGTTTCTATTCTGGTTCTATCTTTAAAAGGCTATACGCCTTGAAACGAAGCGAAAAAGCATAAACAAAGGCATCCAAATCCGTTTCCTGAAGGAGTAGTGGCGTATTGGCGAATTTTCCCTTCAAACCTCCATCCATGGAAGTGAGAGCTTCAGCGCAACTCTGAAGAGAATCCCGCTATGAGCAGTGGTCTCGCCTATGGATGAAAAGCATTGGGGGGTCGGACGACTTATACCGGACGCGCTCTAAGTTCTTGTGTAATGCCAATCGGCAAATGTGGTGTCCTGTTGCAGTTATTTTCGTAGCTTTCTCGTGCACTATGAAGTGTAGGAAGGGGAACCATACGGCTGTGGGAGTTCACCAAGTATTCTGCGGGTTTTTTGTTCTGCGTGTTCTGTTAACCGAAACCCTTCAAGTGTCGAACCAGCCGTTTGTAGCAAGTCGCCTCTACTAGCATCTCCGACAGTTCCGTACGGTTAGCCTTGACCATGAGAATTTCGTGACTTTCCCGCTCAGCAACGTACTCCTTGTTGCAGCCCACTTTGCTGCAGTTTTTTAGGCACCAAAGCAAATAATTTGTCATCTTGCAACATGTGCAACTAAATTATCCATGGTCAGGAACGAGTTGTCAGTTTTGTTCACAGAGTGAACACAGATGATCACCTTGGATGCCAAGAAATACGGGAGCGCTTTATGCCATCGATTTGTCGATGGATGGGACCGGCCCATACGTCCTGTTCCCTGCATCAGCGTGTCGCAAAGACGCTTCTCCCGCTGCAAGTGTGCGTCTTGCCTCCTCAAGAGGTCTGAAAGCGCCAAAGGCTCACTCTCACCTCGACCTACTGCGCCACACTTCATACATTATTTTGCTCTTCTTTCCGCAGCGAGTCCCGAAAGCGCTAGCTTTGATTCTTAGTGCTGCACTACGCGGCATACGAAGCGCGTCAGGCCCCTTCGCAGCTTTGAGATCGACATTGTCATCCCTCCTTCTTCGGGGATGTGAACAATTATCAGGCCTAGAAAGGCCGCCACTGCGTTCCCATGCTGTAGGCTCAACTCTTTAACAGTTCCGTATCTACATGGCCCAACAAAGAGAGCGCCGACACATTGCAAAATCAGGGTCGACGTGGCGCGCACGCATTCCCACGTTTCCACCAATGAAACCGGAAACAGGGAACCACACACAATTCAAACAGACACACAGCCGCATACGTGTCTTCAGAAGAAAGTGGAGGCTCTTAAACAATGAACCCCGCAAACTGCCACTGAGTATCGAGATTACGTTTACTGCATGCGGAAATCCCACCAGGGGTTTTCACACACCGATTTGGATTTGCGTGTCATCTCATTAAATGGATATTTAATTGAATGACATACAATTCTATTTTTACGTTTTTTTAGGGCCCCTATTCTCTAGAGAAACCTGCAGGCTTGCAGGCGCTATCCAGTTTGCCCCACTGCCTTCTATGCTCAGCGGGCTCTCCACACCAATGTAACCTCCAGAGGGTCTTTTTTTCAGGATAATGAATTAAATGTATAATTTGGAAGGAGTGAGGACCTTCTGACCGGTTCCGGATCTCATGATTATCGTTCTGAGTGGGGCGCTACAAGCAGTGCTTGTTTTTTGGGTTTTGCGCCCTTTGCAGGGCTAGTCTTCCCACTGGCACTCCCTCGCGCCGCTTCTATTGATGCACAGAGAGCGACAGAGTCAAGATGGCCTCCATACAGGCAACTAAACGACGGAGGGAACCCGACGGGGCGAATGGCGCAGCACCGGTAGAATCGGGTCGAGCTGGACACAGTCATGAGGCTAGGGATAGACTATTGAACCCTCTGTCTCCTCTGCCTAGCCCTCATTTTAATGCGGCATTGCAGCAATGCGTATATCCTCACATCCTCTCGTACAACACGTTTGCGGATTGTTACGTGGAGGAAATGGTTAAGGAGCTGCCATTTATCTATATCGATCCGAACTACGACCCTGACCGCCATGAAGCCAACCCATATTACAAACCACCTGACTGTATGCATGTAAAGAAGCTCCGAGTCTGCAAGACTATTCATACCTGCTTGAGCGAACACGCTGTGTAGATCTTCCAGTTCAAAAATAGTGCCATCATTTCCATCCTTGGTGAACGGAACTTTCTGTGATTCTCTGATTTTTGAGCAGACCTCAAGTTGGGGATTGCAGAGGCCGTTTTAGGCTTTCCGCAGAAACTGGGTGTGGGGGGCTTGCAGGCAAAATCAGACGCCGGTAGTAGGCTGCTTCCCCGTCACTGCAGAGACTCGCACATCTCCTACGGTGCTCCGCTCCATGTCAGCTTCGTTTGCTACCGCACTGGAGATGAAAGCAATGCTGCCATCAAGAAAACAATGGTGGTTGGCCAGGTGCCGGTCATGGTGAAAAGCAACCGATGCACTTTGTCAGGTTAGCCGAAACAGTGTTGTGGAGAAAATGTGTAGCGTTTCCCTCGTCCATAGCAGTTGACTCGCCGGTTAAAATGCGTGTGGAAGACGCCTCAACATGTGGAGAAGCGCTACACAGAGACGTGCACTCTGGCATAGGACTTCCTTTCCTGGAGCAGACGTCTCAAACCGACACAGGGGATGTGTTTTTTGGCGATCGCCTGTTTTAGGGATGAGCCCTACTGAGATGGTGAACGCTGGAGAAGACTTGGATGAATTTGGTGGCTATTTCATAATAAACGGCAATGAGCGCGTGCTGCGCTTCGTCATTCAGCAGAAGACCAACTATCCCATTGCTCTCAAGAGAGAGAGCTTTAGGAATCGGGAGATATTTGCCACGGATCTTGCAGTTCTCCTGAGAAGTCAGAGGTGAGGCACGGGAAGCTGTTCTCGTGTACTGAACCGGCACTGCATTTGGAGTGTGACTACCGCAACACGCAGGTTGGCTGGGGCTGATGAATTGGTGAATTGATGATTATCGAAGCCTGTTAGGTGTTGAGACCATGTGCTTATGGAATTGCGCTGCCTTCAATGTTGACAGAATTGATGGGACATGCACGTCCAACATATTGCTCGACACCGAGGATGGAAGATGCTGTTATCGCATTCTACTCAATCGTCAAGAGCACTTCTGTCCGTTCCCCTTGCTGCTGCGTTGCGTTGGCGGAGGGCTTTCACTTCAGCAGTTTAAACTCAAATTTATGGAGGGGACTTGGGGCGATCTAGAGGAGTCCACTCAACTGCACGCGATTTTTGAAGAAGTTTGGGGGAGCGAAAAGGATTTTGTTGATACCGACCTCAGAGAACACAGGGTAGGCCTCCGTGCGGATCATGTGGTAATTTCACATAATACACATTTGTATCACCTGCGGTAGGTGCTCACTGCGTGATTTCCACTCTACGTTTGTTTTTACCGGCATGTGCAGCCCTTGCACCAGCTCGGCCAAGTGTTCTGGAGGGGTGTGTCTTGGTTGCTACCGCCTGGGAGCACATTCGAAGATGCAGGCAGGTTCATAATCGATCGTTACGTTCTTGTCCATGTAAAAGAATGGGCTAGCAAATTCGAAACTCTCCTATTAATGTTTCGGAAGCTTCGTCAGCTGCGGAGGGGGAAGATACCGGTAAAACTGCGCTTTGCCCGTGGACTTTTGGGTAACATTTGACAACTGCATGCTTTTAATGGCTGGGCTAAAGCTAGCTACATGTTCTCAGATGTTCTCATGTAATGTACTGCGGTGGATGCAGCCCGAGAGCATGGATGCTTTCTCGTACCAGGAAGTGATTCTTCCAGGGCAAATCCTCGCAGCAGTACTAAAAGATGCTCTTTTTAATGCTCTAATCAAACTTCGGACACAGTACATGGTGGTACGTAGCGCCACAGAGGAATTTTTCTCCTCGCATGGTATCACAAATTGCCGAATAGTGATGCTAGGTGTCTCCTATGCATCTTTGAGAAGGTTCACGGCTTTGGGATACTGGATGCCTCTGGTATCATGGCTTTATTTATCAGGAACTACGCCAAGTTAAGGCAGCAGGCCACGATCCTACTCTGGTTATAGCGTCCAATAAATTTTTTGACGCGGCGACCGACCGCTGTGCGTCCGAGATCGGCCACAAGATTAGCTATTTCATGGCCACGGGCAACATTCGGACGACCCAGCTGGATCTTCAACAGGTAGCAACAGTCCATTGATGATGACAGTTGCTCCATTATTTCCAAGGTGGTTCAGTATTCTCGTCGTTCTCGTGGTCTCGATTGCTTGTGCTCTCTACATTCTATGTAGCAAACGCGTCTGTCTATGCGATGTGGCCTCTTGAAAGCTTTCAGGGTGGACTGTGACGGCAGATCGTCTGAATCTGAATCGTTTCCTTAGCCATTTCAGAGCAGTGCACCGAGGCCAGTTCTTTGCACAGATGAAGACGACTGCTGTGAGTGTTCCGTTTTCCTCCCACAAGGTTCCTTTTCATTCCGAGTGACGTTTTTTAGTACTCCCCCTCATTCTGTAATTTTGCCAAATTTTCACAGTGACGGGACCTCTACAGACTGATGCTTTTCTTTGTTCCCTCATGCGAGGTATGCGTTCAGGTCCGCAAGCTTCTAGGGGAAAGTTGGGGTTTTTTGTGCCCCGTTCATACTCCCGATGGTGCCCCATGTGGTCTCCTACTGCATCTATCCCAGATGGCCCAGCCAGTAGCGGTGCCACCTGACAGGGGGGTAAGAATGAACAACTGGCAACGACGGTTTGAGTGGCAGTATTAAGAGTGCATCGAATACGGCTCCGTTGAGTTCAATGCAGTGCAGCCATGCTGAACTTTTCAGCTGTACATGTACGGCGTTGACTTTCTTTGAGGCGCATTTGCTTTGCTCTGACTTGGCGGGCGCAGGCAATAGCGGCAGTTCGATTGTTTATGAAAGCCCGCGGGGCATGTGTAGACCTTGACGGCGTCTCGGGATTGCCTCCTTCTGATCTTGGCGCTGCTTGTGGAGGGCAGGCTGCCAGTCATGGCGAAGGCGGAAACGTCAAGTGCGTGCCGCTTGTGGTGGATGGAGTAGTCGTGTGCAAAATACGAAAGCCAGAGTTCAGCTTTTGGATGGAACAGTTGCGTCACGCAAAGGGATGTGGCTTGGATGGATTCAAGACTCACTGGGAGCTAGTTGGATTTGATGAGGATAGGCAAGCATAGTCTGATTCCGTCGGTCCCTCCCCTGTTGCTTTTCAGCAAATAGAAACAAGTGCCGCCACATTCACAACTGGGTTGTAGAACGGCCAGACAACGGTGAGTTAGTACTTTTCGTTAGGCCCAGGAAGTGCGTGGTTGTCATGATGCGCGCTTTTCGTCACTGGGCCTTTTGTGTGCAGTAATCAGTTTGAAGGCATTTTTATGTTTACCATGCCAGGCCGGCTTGTCCGGCCAGTCAAGCACTTGGCTAGCGGGCGGTAAGCGAAAAGGTAGCTCCAATTCTCGAGCAACAGCTATAGTAGTCGACAGCCATGATGCAACCTATGCCACAGGCATGTCAAGGATGATGGCGTGTTTCTGACGCAGCTTGGAATTCATAGGGCCACTACAGCAACCGTGGATGTCCATCGCTTGCCGTGAAAGGAACGTGTTGCTTAACGAACGCTCTATGACGGCGCACCAGCCAATAATTGAGAAAATTCTACGAGACCAAATCGCGGAAGTGGAGAATACAGAAGTGTGTACCATATCTCATGATGCCGCGTTGCTTCCATAGACCTTCATCCGTGCCAACGTTGATATGCTACAATGCGTCCAGCTGTCCTCAGTCGTACGCCACCTTGTAAGGCATCTCGATATTCTTGAAACAATGAGAACCTTTTTTTTCCTTGTCTCCACATTGCAGAACACGGTTGTCCAGGACAATCAGGGAAGGCTGGAGAGTGATTATCAATCATTGTTCAATGGCCAGTGCGACAGTTCAACTCCTAATTGTGGCCGAATGGACGGGCGTGGTTTCCAAGAGGTTCGCAATGCCCTCGTCACTAGCCATGTTCCTGTGCGCTACGATTACGTCGAGCTGAGTCCAACAGCTTTCCTCAGTATTACTGCGGCGCTCACACCATTCAGCAACCACAACCAAAGCCCAAGGTACGAGAACCTGCCGCCCAAGAAGCCAATAGACATTCAATGTTATCACATCCTCTCTGCGTGCTCTGAGTTGAGATGCAGCGCGGAAGGAACAGGATGCGCTTGTGTCCGTTATTTAGCAGAGACACAGTGCATATGCATGCAAGCATGCGAATGTAAAGCGTTGCTGGTTACTCCTGCTCAGGAATATATACCAATGCCAAATGCTTAAGCAGACCATGGGCACGCCGTTCCACTCGATCCCGTATAGGCATGACAACAAGGCTTACCGCCTCATCACTCCACAAAAGCCTCTTTTGCGGACACGTGATTACCGCCACATTGACTTCGATGATTATCCTACTGGAGTCAATGCAGTGGTTGCCGTCATGTGCTACACAGGGTACTGCAGCCGCATTCTGCTACTGCATTGTTTTTTTCTCCCCATGAATATAGACTTACCGAGCACATCAAGAGAGGCGAGAACGCAAAGTTTCTGTAGAAACGCGCCTCGTATTTTTGACCCCATATTATGCTGTTACGTGCCTGCATTTGCAAAATGCGTGTTGCATGGATGCTTTCTGTGCAGCTTTGACATGGAAGATGCCATGATTCTCAACAAGTCTTCCGTCGAACGTGGCTTATTCCACGGCTGCGTGTACAAAACCAAAATAATTGATGCTGCCCCAAGTGGCTCACGCGCAGTGAGTTCTCCTGGCTACTAAAAGCAGCACTGCTGTGGGCTTACACAGATGCTTCCAGCAGACTTGGTTACACCGTGACGGTATTGCTCAGGAAAGTCATTGTTCTGCCAATTTCGCTGGTAAGCGGTGGTGCGCTGTGCCTTTCCAGCAAGATGCGGAGGAGTACCAGTTTACAAATACCAGCAAACTTGGCCGCAAATGCATTCCGTCGCTTGATGCAGATGGCTTCCCGACCATCGGTGCAAAGATAACTCAGGGAAAAACACTGTGCAGGTACTCAGTGGGCTTAACACATCTTGATATAGATCGCATACGCTTTCTAGCGTCTGACGCTGCATGTTGTTTTTGCTTGGTATTTATGGTGCCAACTCAGAAGTGTATTTATTGTGTACTTGTGGAATGTGGCGTTTTCAAGAGTGCAGAGACACACGCATTCAACAGCAGTTCAGGCACCGGCTCTGCAGACTACTTACAAAGACGACGAACCGGCATATGTGGATGGCATAACTCTGACATCGGCCCCAGCACCGGCAGAGGAGCGTTTCCTAAAGACAGGTCTCAAGGGCTGCCGAGCGTCGCTCCGCCTGCGCAGTGTCCGAAAACCAATCATTGGCGACAAGTTTGCATCAAGGCATGGGCAGAAAGGCATTTTATCCATGCTCTGGCCACACGAAGACATGCCCTTCTCAGTAATGCCCCACAGCTCAAATTACTAGGAGCAGCCTGGCAGAAGCTGTTTAGAAGTGCTGAATGGGGGCAAGCATTGTTCATGCTTGACATCTTGTTTGTGTGCTAGCATGCTGCCGTTACACTCTGGTCACCATTCAGGAATCAGGGATAGTACCGGATATTTTGTTCAACCCGCATGGCTTCCCAAGCCGAATGACAATAGGAATGCTTATTGAAAGCATGGCTGGCAAGGCAGCGGCAGTTCATGGGGCCTTCCAAGTGCGCATTGCTTTATGTTTTGTGACCTGGAAAGACTTGGCCGCTTTTTGATTCGACTGTGTGCGCTCATCAGAATAGAAAGAGCGTTTGTTGTTGGTTAAGCAGCCAGCTGTGGTTCCCCTGCATCCCAAGGGACGAGCTTCGATTTACACAGTTGTTTAGGTTTTGGGGATGATTAATGGCTTCTCAGGATGCAACAGCCTTTCGAGAATTCAAGAAACAGGAGAAAACAGGAGCTCGCTGGATTGACCAGGAAGGGCACCATGGTCAGCAAGAGTAGCGGGCGCTGCAGTCAAGCTTCTGCAAGAACTTAAGTTCCTGACTGATGCCCGATGGTGAAAAGTGCAATCTCGCCTTTTTATGCAGGATACGTTTTACGTGGGGGACGCTACCGGACACCCGAGGAGGAGGTTGAAGCACAAGAACAAGGTGACACCCCCGTAGATTACTTTGGAAAGGCGCTTCTGGCCTCAGGTGAAGTGATGGCTTCTTCGCCGCAGCAGGCACACTTCGAAGAATTAGCGCCTTACATTCTTGTGTTTGAGAAGTGTGGACATCTACAGTTGACCACTCACGTCAGAGTTCAGGTGTTCTCATTCTTCCTGATTGTTTACAGCTTTGCCCAGCCACTGTGCTTGCTTTCTGCATGCTTTAGGCTACCAGTATTATGGCAAGGAGGAGCTGTACAGCGGCGTTTACGGGATGCCGCTCACCTGTCATATTTTTACCGGGCTTATTTATTACCAGCGCCTAAGGCACATGGTATGAAGTTTAGCCCATGGCTTTACGGGCAGTTGTAACTTTTAATATCAAGCACCTTGAATTTCACGATGCTGAGAAAAAATGTGCATGCAGTTTTGTCAGTTTGCATTTTCGGTCGTGGCGTGTAGGTAACGGACAAAGCCCAGGTACGTGCTACCGGCCCAATCGATTCGTTGACTCATCAGCCTGTGAAAGGAAGGAAGCGCCATGGAGGTGTCAGATTTGGCGAGATGGAAAGAGACGCTCTTATCGCTCATGGTGCTACAGCGTTGCTGCAAGATAGGCTCCTACATGTAAGGACCTGACGTTTTTATGCGAGTTCGGCCTTTATGTCTGCTTGAACTTTGTAGGCCTTCTTTTCAGTCGTACTGGCGGGATCCTTGTTTGTGTTTTGTTGGTTCCGCAGTGTTCAGACGCGCACCGTGCATTTTGCTGCCCATGCTGTGGTAGCATCTTATCTCCGTTTCAGTCCCCCGATATGAAGGGGCGTTCAGTTGGTGGAAGAAAATCGGTCCCTCTTTGCCGCATCTGTGGCGTGCCTTGCCGTCTTGTACAGCTTCCCTACATATTTCGGTGCGTACCATGTATGTAGAACAGAAACAGCAGTTTCACGTAGCGCTGCTGATGCATGTGCTGCACACCAGCTGTGAATAAGGGGATGTTCCGCATGTGTTTGGAGTGCAGCTACTTGTCAAATGAGTTAGCCTCAATGAATGTGACGGTCCGTCTCCAGCTAGATCACTTAGGATAAGCGATTAGGACCAAGCAATACGGCCAATTGTAATAAATTACTCCCGTGAGACGGACAAGCTGAATCGCAAAGCATCTTACCAACAAGATGATCGGAGCCTTAAAGCGCCCAAGGAGATGCGCATTATGCCCAAGCAGGATTGGATTGGAGTTCAGTAGGCTTTGAGGCTGGTTTGCGTAGAGGTCTTTGCGCCAGTGTTTGCTCGTTTTTTCATCGAAGAAACACTTCTACATTTTTCTTTTGGTTCATGCAAGAGATTGACTCATTCTTCGCGTCTAATTTGCGCTGCTGGCACTGCTAACAAATTATTTGAGCAGTGGAGGATACGACGGAGTTGGTCAGTGGAAAAGTTCGGTTCCATTAACTGAGCCGTCTCTAGTCCACCCAATTTGAAAGACTCAAGCATTTGAAAAAATCGAGAAACCTTTCCCCGACACTGTCTTTCCTGTTGATACGGGGGGGGTACAGTCGAATTGATGGCCCAAACCCGTCCCATTGAAATTGCAACACAAGGCATCACGCACACCACAGAATTGAAGCGGCGAAGCTTCTTTTCTGCGGTTTTGAGAACAACGTACACTCTATACATTACTGGGGAAATCCCCGAAATGTCATTTGACGTGTGAATGCTGGATTCTTTAGCTGCCGGGCTGACAGTGGGGGTAAGAACGTTGTTTCCTGGAGATAGCCGTGTCTTGACTTTGAGGTCTCGTTGCCGTTCTGACTAGACATTATCCGTTACCAATGCTACCGATAATTAAGGCGTGTCATGAAGCCACATAAAAGAGCTCGAGGCTTTACAAGAGGACGCTGAGGTCCGAAGGCTCTTGCTTCGACGAGTCCAGTGCAGCTGAAGCCGCTGCTGTATGAGACGGAAAGTCACAGCTAGCACCATGAGTTCTCCTTGAAGCGTGGGAGAGTCGTAGCTAACGCCTGAAGCTTTCTTGAAACCAGCGGTCAATGACGTCAATGACGCACGAACATGTGTGAGATCTAGAGGCCCGGGAGCTCGCTCAAGACTACCGGGCAAATCATGACGTTGGAGGATGCGACAAATTATGCGTGTGCAGCATGAGGAGGAGTTTAGGAAATGTGTTTTTATTATCCATGCTGTTCTGTAGGCCTAGGCGAGCAAATCTGCAAGTGCATAATGTGACACCCAACGAATGCGCGACGCGACCTTCCCTTATTTGTCTATAGGACGGCCCAGCTAGCTCTGACCCAACGCAGAAAAGGACGAGGCCCAGCCCTAGAAAGCTGCCTTAACTAAGTATAAAGGTGACGCGGAAAAGAAAATGAAGCAATTTCTCCGAGTTTCATAGACAGCATCATGAGCCGCTAGTGCCCTGGTAATGGTCTGGGTCACTCGGTCAGCGAAAGCACGGATGGGTCATCCCTCAGGCCTGCGTTGATCCCAACGCATTTAGCAAATACTTAATTTGCACTTTTCTGCAATATCTGCAAGATACATTTACGCAATAGTTTAAATCGCTCAAACTGAACCCATTTCAAGGCTTGCGTGCCGCACTCCGTGCTGGTCATTCTGCTCATGGACAGCTGGCAAACAAACCCATCGACGAAGCTTGACAGCCAGACGAGCTACAGTCATGCACACTTGAATACAAAGACCTACACAGTTGACGTTTTTGTCTTGTTGCAATTTTTCTTTTTCAGATCGCCGCTTGCTTAGCGGCATGGGCGGCGCGGTGACCGCTGTAATTCCTGCTGGGTCTCTCTGCTCGTCGTCTCATGAACTTTCAGAGAGACTTCTGCGGAGTGGTCTATTTAATGAGTAATATTGTTCGTCTCAGCGTAAACAAGCAGTTTGAGGCTTTCGCGACACCTTCCACCCGAGACTCTCAAATCATTGCTGAGACTTGTTGGGACCTCAAGCCGACGGTGGCGCTAGGTTAAAAGAGTAGCCAGGAACCGTTCTAGCTCAACCGCCATGAAAGCAGCTTGCAATCAGCAGACAAAACGCCGCTTCAGGCATTCAGATGTTCAGCCGATGGAAACGGGATTCGAAAGATATGTTAGGCTTTTAGGACTGGACCTATCCGAGTACTTTTACCCCTTCGAAAACAATATTGATTTCGAAGAGCCACCGACTGACGACAAAAGCACCCCACCGAAACACCAAATGGAAGACCGGCAGATTCATTCTGTGCCCCCAACCCCGCCTTCTACTCCATCGAACAGGATTGCGGGCGGCCTGTCTACTTTGGGACCCGCAAGGGATCCAAGGCCTGCAACAGTGTCCCGTAGGGCCTGGAAGCAACTCAAGAAAATCATAGAGCGCCAGAAGAAAGTAGCCGAGGCTGCAGAACCCAATCGCGCAATCGCGATTGCACCTGAAGAGAGCTGTGGGGACGGTGAACCTAATCAGAAATCCGAGAAAAAAGAAGAGCCCGAAGTCAATAATAAAGAAGAGCCTGAAATCAATAACAAAGAAGAGCCCAAAGTCAATAACCTAGAAGAGCCCGAAGTCAATAGCAAAGAAGAGCCCGAAGTCAATAACAAAGAAGAGCCCGAAGTCAATAACAAAGAAGAGCCCGAAGTCAATAACAAAGAAGAGCCCGAAGTCACTAACAAAGAAAAGCCCGAAACCAATCCTCGTTGCGAGGAAATACAAAACTCGCATTTAGAAGACTTCAAACACTCACCTGATAGGTCCAAGGTAGAAGAATTCCCGCCGCCCAAAACATGCTTTTCGAGATCCGTTCAACAACGCTCCTGCAATGTCGAGGCGTCGAACACAGTAAAAGACCAGAAGGAAGCATCCACATCCAAGAAGAATGCTGTGAGCTGGTACCCTGTGGCAGAGGTTGTGACTGTCGAGACCGAAAGTCCAACAACAACCCATCCAGTCGACATAAGCACTGCTGGGCTCGTTGAGAAATCCACGCTAAGATCTTGTAGGCGCATCATGAATCGCCAGAGTCCTGCGATTGGTAGCGGCTCAAGCAGCTCTCGAGATTTGCTCAAGGATTAAATTCCTTTGAGGAGCCACCTTGTCTGGCGTGTCTACAAATAGTTCCAAAAACATCAATGATTTTAGAAGAGCTTGCAGGCGGGCATCAAGTGATGTGTGTGGTGCCAAATTCCATTTGACAAAGCTGCCCTTTCTTCTAAAGGGTCGCCTCAAGCCTCAGCAAATTTTGAAGATGACCGTGGTCTCGTTCAGTAAATACAGCTGGAATTGCTGGAGGACAATTCAAATACTACTAGAGCTTGGTACAGCCATCGGCAGCGCTTGATTAGTCAAGATGCGAAGCAGGAAGTCTGAAAGTCACGGCCTCCCTGCAGTGGGTGTGACTGCTTAATCCCTCATGAAAACGCCCGTTGAGTCACGGAGAAAACTTCGAGGAGAGTTACTGCGCATTGCCGAAGACGATGATTATTATCTGCAGCTACAACGTCAGAGACCAAGGAGGCCACTGGATAAATCACTTATTCCCGTGAAGCAACGCACCTCCGCAGTTTTCTCGACAGTGGCTGCGGCCACGCAGTAATAGAACAGAAGCGTTCAGTACAATGCCTGTAGGCATTTGGATAAGATATGAGCGGCGAGCTTGCGGAGCCATCTAGCTCCCAGCTACCTCCACGTCGAGCTATCGACTGTTCAAGAAGCCATACGCTAGGGCCACCAGTATTCGGTTCTACAAGGCCAACGCGCCAAAGTGGCAAAGCCTAGCGAACCCACAAGCGCTACAGCCCTTGTCATAATGACTATTTATCGCGAGCGACTATTTCATGTTCGCCAAGACAAAACACCTAGATTTTAAGAAATTTTACTTTGCATTCACTGGCCAGATCAGCCTGAGTCATTGCACAGCCTCCCGGTAACTCGATAATATTGACTAACCTTCGTGTGAATTGAATTCTGAGAGTAGTCTGTAAATCCAGACAGAGCTGAGATCAACTCAATGCAATTCATTTGGAGACGAGTAGTTACTGAGCATTTATACACTAGATGCATCTCCGTAGTACCTTGTCATGTACTCACATCATTAATTACGTCTTTCGGAAACAAGCGTGACACTAAATTGACATAGACGCATCAATTCAGCAGGTGACACGGATGCCAGGGATCTTTTGCAAATGCCCTAGCCGCCGAGCTTTCCCTGTGTTTCTGCCATTTCATTTTCTGTAGCCTTTGAGACTGCTCCTTTTTCTCGATCATGCCCCAAGGCGACGTTATACTATCAACTGCGTCCTTCGAGCAGCCGCGCTGCGAAGTAAGAGGGTAGCGAACACACTCGGCTGCTGAATGGCCTGGGTGACAACAGCGCGGGCAGTGAGACACCCCGTACTGCAGCGGCGAAGCTCGGCAATTTGCATGTCCCATGCTTCCGCACACGATGCACTGAACTGCATACAAGCTAAGGCGTTTCGCACTCTTGTTGGATCCTGACTTGCTGCTGCTCTTCGTGTTGCTGCTGGAAATCGCAAGGCTTTCGGCGGGAAACCGTCCTTTGTCCGGAATCAAACTCCGCTTGGCTTGCTCGGTTCTCTCCTGTATATGCGCTGTTAAGCACCCTCTTATACTGAGGTCAACGAAGTATATGGGGCAATCCTCGGTGTCGTGGCCTTTTCCACCACAACACAGGCAGAGGACACCGGATAGGGGGCAATTGATTGATTCATGACCTTCCTCAAAACACGAAAAGCATACTGGCACTGCGCCATGTGGTTCTGAAAGCGATGACCCAGTCGTTAACATATCGAGCGTCGGGACAGTGGACTCTGAGAAGTAACGGTTCTGGTTTCTTCCCCTTCCAGCATCAATATTACTTGCCATCCTCTAACCGACCCACAGAAAACAGAGTTTCTTGTTCGCAAGGCCACGAAATAGCTTGCATCAAAGGAAGCTGATGGGCTGTTACGCTATCGGAAGGACTAGGGCAGTGCGGAATGTGGGGAGTAGATGGGCCCTAACTTTCCATAAAAGGGTAAATAATAAAGCTCGTACATTACAAGGCAGCGATAGAAAGTGCAAATCTCCGAAAAAGGGGGGAGCTGCCAATGTGACAACCTGCTTGAATTAAGGCGGAGACTTTGAAGTCGGGAGGCGCTGGAGAGGAGCACCGTGGACAGTACGAACCACAGCTTGAAACGTAAACTCTAGGAAAAATAATACAAAAATGAAGTAAAACAGAATAAAATGGATGACTACAGGCCACAGCTCTTTGGGGCTCCATGCTTGCATGCGCGCAGGGAATCGGGAAACTTAATCCATTGCTACCAGAAACGCCCATACACCCGTGCACCGGCAGTGGCTCATTCCTACTGAAATCAAACGGATACTGTTAACAACTGCAACCACTGCGCCTACCTCCATGAGGGCTGTCGGGTCTTTGCTGGGCTTTTCGCGCACTTTGCGCTCTCCTTTGGGATTACCACTTAAATTTCAACAGAAATTGTAAGCCATTTTACTTGCACCTCAGCGCTACACCTTTCAGTTAGCCTTTTGTTGCTAGTGGTGGATGCCCAAGAACACGGCTTCCCTTGAGGCAGTTTCTTATTGCATGACAATGTTGCAGCGCCGTGGAGTGAATGCATGAGGAATGGCTGGCTTAGAGTTAAAAGGGTGAGGAGACTCCAGCCCTTCTAAACAATGCTTTATGTATTCTCAGCGAGCAGTCGCCGATCAAACGAGGTCAGTGGAGGACAGGCCATACCATAATTGCCCTCTTCGCCACGCCGTTTCTTTATTCTGCTCTGAAGGTATGTAATATCTGAAGAGAACTTTCTTGAGATGTGTTGCGTGATTCTGCACCGCTGTTACTTCCGCCGGTAGGGTGCTCACACGTCTATCAAACATGCGTGAGCGTCGCTTGCAGTCCGCCTACATGACTGTACGCATGAGGCGCCTAGAGACCCAAGAGATTCTCTCCGACAGATTCACTTGGCTTCATGAACGTATGCTGGTAAGTGTACGGCCATTATTTTTATCTCTGTACAAAGTGCGGGGGATATGTCAGCACTCCTTTGTGCAAATTATCGGAAACACCTCAGTCGAATAATCATATTCAGAGCAAATAGGGGGCGCATTGTATTGCAGGGTGTTTAGGATTTTCACACAGGTCACTCGTTGGGAGCTGCGTCTACCACGCCCACCTCTGCAGGCAGTAGATGGAGACTTTGCAACGTCGCTTCGAAAGCATGTGCTGCTTCCATCTTGTATGTGCTGCGCTCGCAGGAGGATGAGGTGGAAGCTCTTTTGATTCAGCAAGTGGCCAACAGCAATGTAGATCGAACGCAGCCTCTGTTGCGTTTAGGCCCCTCTTATGTGAGGTCTGTGTAGATGCTTCTGAACTGCACGAAGCCTTAAGTTCGTAGGGCTCACTATTTGCTAGCATGGACATCTGCTACTGCTTTTAACCTCCGTCACTGCTGCGGGTGCCGAGCCGTCTGCAGATTAAAGGGCAGCACTACCTGGTAAAGTAAGAGTGGCTCCGTTGAGGAAACCATGTTTGCACTTCACAGGCTGTCGAATGCATCCACAAGCGTGCATGCGCAAGTACCTAATGTAGCGAGCAGCAATTCTTTCACTACATATACACAGGTGCGGTCCCGCTTCGTATGCCACTCCGCCCCGTGCCCCTAAAATGCTTTCAAATACTGGCGACTGCTTTTACTGTGTTAGCTATCACGCCTGCTACCCAAAGTAGTTACCTGAGGCTGCTGCACGCTTTGCTTTGGCATAGTGCTTCCCCGGAGTTCGGTTGGCACAGGATTGCCGTCATATATACGCGATATCTTACTTACGTGCATAGTTATACACAAAGGCGGCAAAAGCTGCAGAAGGGGACACGGAGATAGATGCTACAGCCGCAGCAGCATCTATCTCCAGCAGCAGTGCTAGCAGTGAAAATAGCAGCGCAAGCGGTAGAAGCGGCAGCAGTGGCCGCCATCGCCGCTACAACGGCAGATGCAGAAAAGGCGGAGACTACAACAGCAATGGCATGACGCAGCAGCACACCACAGGAGAAAATCGATTTTCAGCAGTTGCGCCTAAGGCATACTGACGGAAATATGCCTGCTGGGTTGTGACCACGCAGGAGGTCTTACAGCACATTTGGACTCCACACAGGGATTGCGCTGCTGACGTTCACACGGAGCTTTTTGAGGATTGTGCGCCAGTTGTTGCACACGCAAACAAAAAAAAAGTGCTGATACGCAGCGTATGGGTGCAGAATAGTTAAAGGCCGGATGCAAGCTTATAGCATACAAATACGTGCTCTTGTGACTGGGAAGCTTCATGTAAATGGGCACAACTGAATATGCTCAGCTTCTGAACGGAAAAGGGCGCCGGTTAATCCCATTTCTTCTGGGTCCCGGGCTACTGCATGCAGTCGCAGCTGGTAGACGCCTTGCTGTAGCCGCAGTGGGCAATCTCAAGTCTCAGCAGCAGCTACTGCCACACTATATCTATTCTCTCAGTGCTCTTCTGTAGGCGAATACGTACGCTGAGGCAGCACCACCGCAAGTCCGTCCCACGCAGCCGTTACCTTCAGCGTGGACGCCGGTGGTGCGGCAGCCTGGAGCTGCCGCTCTATATCATAGGCTTGCCTGGAGAAATAGACACACGCCATCGTGTTTTAGCTCTCGATTTCACACTAAGCTAAAGACCAATCTATATGCATACCCAAGCTGAGCGGAAAACCTAGCATGACGCATTCGTGTCTATCGACACAAATTCACACGAATCGCAAGACGTTAGTAATAGGGTCTCCTCGGAAGGAGAATTCGGGCTACAAGGAATAGACACTCCGCTCACCTGGCCTCTTCCTCCACGCGCTCCATTGTCAGCACACTACGAAGGAAGGGATCTCCACGGTACCTCTGGGAAAAGTGAGTCAGTAGTAGGCGGGCAGCTCCGGCACGGAAGGCGAAACTGAAACAGGAGACAGAAGGCAATCACGAACTGGCGCGCAAGTGCAATGTTTGTGTCCCTCATTTGGAAAGCCCGTTAAATACAGCATTGGACTGAATCCTACCATTTTGCATTCTGGTAAACGTCCCACGAGGCGTACAAGTGTCACATTGTTTCCTGCTTGCTCTATTAGACTGCCTGCAGCTCTGTTCCTCACCTGCCAGCCATGGCGGCGGAAGAGTGCCCCCTCTCAAAGGCAGCTTGACTGGCTGTCTGCACGTGAGCGCCCATTAGGTCTTTTGCGCTAAGGGCCTTGCCCTCAGCATGTCCATTGAGATGTCCCTCCCCTTGCCCGGGGTGTGGCTTCGGCTGGAGCGACTCCGTGCAGGGGTCCCACTTGCTTGAAGTCCCTTTAACCCCACTCATTGTGGCCTCATGCACCTGAAACAACGGCGATAGTTTGCGCAATGATCAAGAGCCGCAACAATTGTTCTTTCTGCACCATCTCAACCTGCAGCAGTAGCGCTTACAAGAATGTCAGCGCCCTGAGCGAACGGAAGCAGCCGAGATGCATCACATGTGTCGAATGCAAAGCAGATCTTCCTTGGATGCGGAGCCCCCAGGAATATATCCGCCGGGCCAACTTGAGTCCCATCCGGGAAACTGAAGACCTCTCCCGCCTTCAGTTCGGACAAGAGCTGCACACAGTCGGAGAGCAACAGCCGTCTAAATTGTCCTAGTCGTCTATTGGGAGGAATAAACATTAAGCAGAAAACAAGAACTGCAAAAGGTGGTCGTATGATGCGCCTGACTACACGGACAATGCCAACGAATATTCTCAAAGCATTCATCTTTCGTCCGCATGCTCGTGCAAATAAGGTATGCAGATGAAGCGAGGTAAATTGTTGGCGTTAATGGCGAAGCCTAAAAGCAATGACTGAATAAACAGAGATCCTTACCCTGTACACCGCCTTTGGTTCACCGCGGAGCTGTGGCCACCTGCTGGGGTCTTTCAAATGCTGTGAGTTCTTTTCGATGAGAGGATCTATCACGTCCGCCCTAAGACGATGGCGGTTTATCTTTTCCGTCAAAATATAACCGACACATGGTACTAGGTGCTGCATTTGAAAGAGGGCACCAGAGAACATCACTGGAGGGTTGCCTTAGCGCCTAATTCCGGCGAACTCTTGTCGAAGTGCACCTCTCTACAAGCTGCTGCTCTTGCTGTGACATGCAGGTCCAGACCGTCTACTTGCGCTGCTTATACCGGACATTAAGGAATCCCCTCAACTCCCAACGTGCCGAGAGGCGCTGAAGTGGAACTGCCTCGAACCCCTCTGCAACTGCTCTTTATTGAAGGCTTCTATTTTAACTACGGCCTGTTGCTAACTCACTCTTATTGGTGCAGCTGTAACGACAATTTCCGAGTCTTCAAATGCAACATAACTTCCGTCGGCATTTGGCTCAATGTCTCCTCTACCACTTATCTCGAACGGAGCCCTGAGCAAGCTCAAATACGTTCACACAGAGAGCGGGCAGCCAGCCTACTGCGCGTCAGCTACGGCATCTTGACCAGTAGTTGCTAGACCGGTGGATGGCTTTTAACAAAGCGGGTACATTGAGGCGAAGTAAACACTCGAAACCATCAACTGCAATCCTTGAAGAGCCTGCTGGCGTTACAACTCGCCCAGGCCCCGAGCAAAATCAAAATTCAAGTGCGTTCATGCGTCTAGATGCCTGCTTGTCTTTATCGCTTGCAGCGGCGCTGCCACCGTTAAAGTACATGAACTCACGGGGGCAACGGGGGAAGACGCAGCACTCGAGATCGCCGATGGTGTAGGTGGGGTACACAACGCAGTTCAACGACTGAAAAAGAGGGAAGGCGCCTGGCAGCCGTGCCCTAAGAAGCACAGTACGACAGCCCATACATCTCAGACATGCACTGTACTGTGGCTGGACCGCAGGTGGCAACACTAAAGTCAGGGCCGAACCAATACATCAACGAGCAGCACAAGTTTTGAAATTTCAGCTGACGCAGAGCATTTGTTGCCGGATCCCAAACTTTTAGCTTTCAAGCCTTAACTTTCGGTATTTCGCATAAGCCCTACATGCAAAATGCAACGGAGGAGGCTGCGGAGTCCCTCCGGCCCAACGATCTCAACATGCCTGGGTCCCCTGCAGAAGCAAGATGCTGCAAATTCATTCATGAATACAATGCCTGCTGCTCTTGCTTTGACGAACGAAAAGTTGAGTTCGAGACGGCGCTCAGAAGGTGTAGATGAGACAAGAGAACAGAGAGAACATAAAGCTTAGGCAGCTTAAATGAAGCTCTCACTCCTCTGGGCTTTCGGCTATTTGAGAGAGGAACGAAGGGAGGCCAAGGCAGTGGTCACCGTGAAGGTGCGTTACGAAGACTCGCTGCACCACTCCCATCCGTCTCTGCAGCGAAACAGGCGAAATGGCATTCAGCAATTCGTAAAAGCTGCACTTATCAGGAATTTTATGTATGAATTCACTGCTATTACTAATTCAGGCAGACGTAGCAGCAAGCCCAGAGAAGCGGTCGGAGATTACGCAACACAAACCTTCCGCGTTTCCTGCTGGTGCTGATGCTGCAAAGCAGCAGCAGCGGCAGGTGTCGTCCTCGTAATTGCCTCTGTTGCAACGGCAAGCGCCACTGCGTGCTTCAGTCTGCTGTTCTGATCTGCTTCTGCAACTGCGTCGCTTGCTGCTCCTATTGTTGCGTCCCTACGACAAACAGAAGCAGTGTAAGTAGGGGAAGGCCCTCCTCCGCAATCAAAGAGCCAAGCAGAACCGTCGCCGCGAGAAAACAAGATACAGGAAGTTCCGCGAGTCGCCTGAGCCGAGAAAAGCAAAAGTGGTAATGACACCTTGCGCTAGAATGAACTTTGATACGCACGAGAAAGCAGCGGCAGCATGGTTGCGCACACGTAGTTGCCCCTATCAACACTAGGACTTCAGAGGCTTTATAAGACTGCAGCGAGACCAAAGCGCTAGCTGAGGTGAAATGCTGCACATGGCGCTCCAGGAGGGGAGAGGCTGGAATAGAGTAGCACCCACCGAAGCTTGCATAGCCCCAGTTCCTAAAAAGTGGAGAGACCAGCTACCCTTTTGCTGCTCCCCTCTAAGCCGGAGCAGCAACTGCCGGTCAACCAGCAGCTTTGCGTTGCTGGTGCCGCTGCGGTGTACATACACCACGCCGCTCGCATCACTAATGCGTTTCAGGCCAAACGCATTCGCCACCTTCGCTAAGAACGAAGCACGGGCCGTCTCGACGGCTTCAGAAGTGCTAGCAGCCCACGGTGAAACGGAAACGTCCTGACCGTTTCTGCTTTCACTGCTGCTTGTGAAGTTGGTCGATAGAACTGCTTCTGCTGCAGCGACAACTTCTGAAAACGCATTTTCAATATCTGCAGCAGCGGCTGTTGCTGGTGTGGCAACGGATGGCCCTCCCGGAACTTCATTAGCGCCTGTCGATGTGTATGCTTGTGCCTGTGATGCCGTTGCGAAGGTCTTCCCCACAGTGTGCTTGAGGGGTGCTGCACCCGCATCCTCAAAGTCTACTGAGAAGGTTCCACACTGTGGTATGCGGCGTGTTGACCAACTCTCTGGTGCATGATGTAGGGGGCTTTTCCGCGGCAGAAGGATGCAAGCCCCTGCAGCGACCCCAGAGGAGCCTACTGCTTCCTTGCTGTCTATGCAAAGAGCATGGGGAACAGTGTACACTGCAAAAGGACTGGCTGCGCTAAGCAGCTGCAGAAACAGCAACAATGCCAGCCAAGGCAGTTTTCTGTGCTGCCGGATCCGGCGCAACGCAGCGCCGTTCATTGCATATTTGCTGACTGCAGTGCCACAGCTGGCCCTACACTGCGCAGCACATATGTCATTAAGCCGTTTTATACAGTTAAGGCATGACAATTAGTAATGTAAATGCTTGGGGAAGTTCTTCAACAGTACAAGGCCTGCCAAGACGAGGGGCCCCAGTGTATTGGGGCCTTCCTGCTTATTCTGTCGCATAAGCTGCACCTTTCGCACATCCATATGAGTTCGAAAACATGTTTCTCAATGCGATAATGTAGTGAAGATCGTCGTATGAATGGACGGGTCGGAGGCCTTACCGCCTCGATGTTGATCTCATTCAACGGGTGTGGCCCCAATCAGCAGTTTGGGATCGCGAGCGGTCCTATAGCCTACGAAGGCTTTCAAGACGCATGCAAGATGGAATACGGAAGGCAGCATGAAATATTTCACGTTTAGTTGCTGCACAGCTAGTCTTTTCAGCGAGGGACGCCAAGACACCGGAGTATCGTACCAGGAACAGCAGCAGCGGCAACTGCAGGAACCGCAGTAGCAGCAGCAAGAATAGCTGCAGCAGTATGCTGCAGTATTTTTAATATTTTTCGTTTGTCCTAAGGGGAGATCCCCGATGGCCAGATGATAGCACAGCAGCCGCTGCTGCAGCAGCTGTTGCTGCTCTGGGGGCCTGCTCTGCTGTTACTCTCGTCCTCTTTTCATGTACTTTTGCTGCAGATGCCTTATACGGAAGCATCCTCCCTTCAAGTTTGCAACTGCACCGCTTACTCGCGTACATGCTTCACAAGAGCCCAACCAACTTGCCTTGCCTTCACAAGCCTGCTGCCGCAAGCTCTGCATACACCCATCGGTGGCAACAGCAGCAACAACAGCAGCAGCTGTCTTTTCTCCCGAGGTCGCTTCAGGCTACACCCGCGCCTGCGTGTGCGTCGCTTGTCCAGAGACAGCGGCAGCAGCCACGTACTTGAGTTATCTCGGCAGCGGCTGCTGCTCCAGCGAGAGGGAGACCTCGAGAAATACCTGAATCTGCCGATGCTGCCATTTCCTGCAGAAGGAGAGGTTCACTCTCAGCGGAAAAGGGCAAAGGAGCCTTCTCCAGGGGGCCCGCTTCCCGGGCCCCTGCTGCTTTATAGGCAGGCTAAGCAGCTCCTGAAAAAGCACAGCGGTACCAGGAACAACAGACGGGTGCTGCTGTTGCGAGACAGGCTTTCGCTGCTGCGGCAGCAGCAACAGAAGCATTTAGTGGATTCTCCAGAGTCTTCAGTTGCGCTGCTTAGGAGGCTTTGGGACATACCGACAGACTCAAAGCACATGCCGCTGCAAGCGCGGCAGCAGCAAGACAAGCACTATGAGAAGGAGAACTTGAAGCTTCAGGAGCGGCGTACCAGGCCGTTGGGGAGCCGCTTTCTCTACATTTGTGGCATTGACTTGAGAGTCACAGGCACAGATCTTGAAAACATCTTCCAAACAATTACGGAGCACCCCGTCTATGCGAGGCTGCCAAGGAACAGAGGTCGGCCCATCACCACAGCAACAACTCCCCTTCCATGTCCTTATTCTATTCAGCTGTTTGTTTACGTAGCTCTTTACCTCTCCACATGTTTTTGACGAAAGTCGCTGTTGTGCAAACTCGTATCACAACTTGAAATTACTGACGCGGATATACATGTACTGTTTATGTTTCGAGAGTACCTAAATGCCAGGTGTTTGGGATTTGCGTGGGTCATTACTGTTGTCTGCACATCATTCCGTTGCTTCGCTCCTTGCCACTCTGGTTGTTGAGACCCTATGCCGCCCTCACTGTTCAACGCATCCTGCCACATTGCTGCTGAATATTTCAATTTTATCTGTTTTTTTTCGCCTCAGAAGGTCGCCATTTGGGCTTCGGCACTCTTGAGTTTGGCTCAACCCTAGATGCGACGCAGTGCCTGCTACAGCTTAATGGCATCAAAATCGGAAATAGCACAATCAGACTGGGAGAGGCATTCGCTGCTTCGAGGAACCCTCACCGGTTGAATCCGGAGCCGACACACCACCAACAAGTGGGACAAAGGGGAGAAGAGAGTACGGGCAATATGCGGCGCAAAAGGTCAAGGTACATACACCCCTATCCTCTTCCTTGCGGATGAGTTTCTGGTGCTCTCATTTATGAAAAGACTGATTATTTAGTGACTTTTCAAAGAATGAAACCGCCGAAATCCACGAGCTACCTTCATGGAGCAGCACCATAGCAAAAACAGCATGTACTGCTACTGGTCTGTTTGGAAAGAAGGGCCTGCGACATTGCTTGTGGCTTTTTGCTGGTGGTTAGTTTGATTTCTTCGGCTTGACTTATTGGGCCTCTCGTTCGTAGAGAAATTAGAGTCCCAGTGGCAAAAGCGTAGGGAAGCAAAGGAGCAATGAGCCTATGCTCCATTTTATCGAGACAAGGAGCTCAAGATGAGCAGCAGCCAGGTTTCGGCGCACTACGCATCTTCGCATTTTATTGTATGGATATGTGAAAGGGCATAAGAAAGGGCACAGAGACGTAAAACGAAGGGCAGTTTGGCACCTGCGCTACCGATTTCCAGGCGCCTCACTGATATGCGCACTTCAAAGACATATATGACATGCAAAAACTCAGAAGTAGAAGCCTGGCATCAACCACCGCGAAAGCAAATCAGGACAAAGGTGATGATGGTCAAGACCTTGTGTCCAAAGACAGCGATCCATGCGACCAAACAAAATGTTTGCATGCTACCTTGGGCACTTGCTTTTTATCGGGGCAAGATGTGCTGCAGCTGTTGATTTACTTTAATATCCGAGAGACCTCTTATTTGGCTTTCATGTTTTTGCTGCCCGACCTCTTGAATATACCTGACAGGCGCGACACTAATCGGGCTCCCAGCGGCCCAGCTCCACTGGGGTGGCGTCCTGAGGTTGCGCCGCCGTTTGGTTGTGTATGATCCCGTGATATCTCGGGCTTCTCCGCACGAGCTGTTTGCCGACTGGGGATATCGTGAGACACTCCTTTACCGCCGAAAGACATTGTGGAGTTCGCTGGCGCACCCGCAGCCGTACTAGGACGTGAAGCTGCTGGTGCTGTTGCAAATGGAGGCTTTGAGAGACCTCCGCCAACAGCAACAGTAGTTAGGATCTCTTTGGCACTCCCTATTGCCGTTGCTTGTTCCCGGTTTGGGGTGTCTCTGGCAGCAGGAACGTCGGCAAGGTTCACAGCCTCCTGGGAGGCCTCTATGGTTGACAAGCCACTTGCCCTGGAGGCAACGGAAGTGGACGGTGCCGACTTGAGGGCGGTTTCTCTCGCGGCTGATGACGAATGTACTGATGCTGTTACAGCTGGCGTTTTCTTCACGGATGCACTTTCCTCCGTGATATTGCTCTTCGGTCGGGGTGCAGCAGTAGGAAGCTTTTGCTTTTGGGGGGCCGTTGGAGGTCTGTTCCCTTCTGCTGTTGCTCTTCTCTGCTGTGGAGGAGACGAAACAGGCCCAGGGCTCTTACTAGAAGAGCTCTGTACTCTGGTCTCAGGGGCCGTCACAGTGCTACGAGAATGGAGGCTTTTCATGGAATTTGTGGACCGCGGAGCTGCTAGAGATGTTTGTGGCCTAGCTGCCGCCGGAACTCTAGGCATTAATATTTTTGTAGCGTCCAATGCTGCGGCAGTTACAGGATTCACTGGTGCTGCTGTGCCTTCCGATACCTTTGTCTGGGATACTTTGCCCGGTGCTGCGTATTTTGGCGGACTTGTTGGTGCTGGCTTTGGAACTGCTGATGTTTCTGTTGCGGGCTTCGGCCCAGCAGTGGAGGCTCTAAAAGCAGGGCTTCCTGGAGAAATGCTTTCGGGCCGTGCATTCAAATTTGCTGTTGCTAATCTGGTTTGTGCTGTTAATGACTTCTGGGTAAGGGAGTCTCGAGAAACGCTAACTGCGGCGCTGGCCGCCGGTGATCGACTTGGCGACGAAGGGCTTCTACAACCCTTTGCAGCAGATTTCTTAGCGTTGGGATCTATCGGAGCTAGATGCTGCTGAGCGTGAGTCCGTGCTTCAACTGCTGCTGTGTTCAGCTTCGGCCTCAGCCCTGCCGCTGGAGAACCAGGCTCCAGCGTACAGATGGCTGCCGCTGCTGCTTTTGCAGCATTTGCTGATACCTTCGCTGCAGTTGCTGCTGCCTCGGATTTTTTGAAGGGCGTTTGCTGCTGTTGCAGTATTGGTTGCGGTGTGTTACGTTTGGGTGCAGGTTGCCGTGCCGTCGCATGTTGAATTGGAATGGCTGCTGCTGTTGCAGAGCCCAAGCTTCTAGTCAGATGTGAGCTGGGGCGCTCGCTTGTCTCTTTACGACCAAGTATAGCAGTTCCTTTCTCAGCCGAGGCGGGAATGCCGGACGAACGTGCGCTGTGTGTAAGTTGGTGGGCAGCATCCTGGAAACTAGAAAGAGTGCTGCAGCTGCTGAAGGATGCAATACTTCTCTCTGCGTTTTTCTGCTCTGAAGAGAGCTCTGCGACGTTTTCTACGGCTGTTGCTGGTGCTGCTGCCGCAGCCCCCTCCTTTCCCAGGGGAAGATTAAACTCTTGGAAACCTAAATAAGAACCATTGGAAAGCCTCTCATGCGTAGCGCTCACTAATCGAAGGGCCGGAGAGGCTTGTTCAAGAAGTTATAGATGTACGAGCACAACTTGCCAGAATTCGCTTCATTCTTCTGCACCATTCTTTCCACTTTCTTACCTCTTTGCGTGGCTTCTTGCATCAATAGTTGCAGTAACGCTTTCATCTCAGACCTCCAAACATCCTCGCTGACGTCTTCGTGAGGCTTCACGGAGAAAATATCAATTGACCCATCCTGTGGAGAGGCAGTAGGCCGAGCTACATCAGTCTGTTCGTCTGTCGCTTTCTCTGACACGGTGCAAGTGCGCACTCTCGATCTGTTGAAACTATGATATGCCAATTAGCACCTAAAATATACTGCTGCGACATTAGTGCGCAAAGTTAATTGCCAAGAGTCTCGTGATCATCTTGTAGGGGGTTTAACCTGGTCAGTAGCCTCTGAAATGTCCCTGGCACTGTCCGCGATAGAGCAGTTGAGCCCCTGCGAGCATCTCTTTTGGATATTTTCTTGGCTGTCAAGCCGGCTGATTAGCAAACACTTTCCGAGCTCCTCAAAGAAGGTTTTCTCTGCTTCAGGGCTACGCCAAGAGTGAACAAAGATGCATTCCTGATTTTCCAGGAGACAAGGGCAGCAGTTTACCTCTGGTGGGTTGTGCGCAGATCGGTGTAGGGGATAGGCCCAATTAGTAGGTAATAGACAGACGAAAAAGTCTGGGCGTTTTCCTATGGAGTAGCTATCTTGTGCATGCGTGCAACACGCTCAGTGCTTCTGCTCATGTTTTGTTTGCCCTGGAGCTAACCGTTTGTCGGTTGAGAAGACTTAGAAGAGACTTTAGCGTCCGGATACGCGAGCTGGGGTTGTTCAGGAGGTCCGTTACAAATATCAAGTCAAAAGTCTCTTTTGTGTTCTCAAGAGCAGAGAAGCTAAAAGTGCGAATCTGCAGCAGCAACAGGGGAGCCATCGGGTGCAACACGGATGCGTGCTCACGTGCTTCAGCCGACATTCCGGCTGTATACGGCACAGGATCGTTAGCTACTGCTACCAGCAGCTGCTGTAACCGTCAGGACGTGCCCACTGCCCAGTGCGGCGTACCGGGTGGCACTTTGTGAACTCTGAGTTGAAAGTGGAAATGTTGTGTTGAAGGAGAGTCAAGGTGGGGCCGTCTTCGTCGCAGGCATGCGCTTTAGCCCCCAGCAAGGCCGCCACCATGGATACGAGCCCACAGCCTGAAAACTCATCAGATACTTTCCCCGTCGTTAAGGCTTCCGCTGTCGTGAATCGCCGTGCAACTCCCCCTGGGAGAGTCTACACTACTTGAGCTTTTGTATCCAGTGTCACAAGCTCGTCTAGTGCAAAACACTAATAGGGGGCTGGCGCCTAACTAACCCGACCCAAGTTCGATTGTCTTGCGTCCTCGCAGCGGGAATTGGTTGGCTTGGGTCGCCTGAAGCTCAAGGTACTTCCCCAAGAAGACGGGTGCCGGACCTACCTGGGTTGCAGAGGGGCCCCATGCTGACTCTTTGATGTACAACAAAGCCTTAGGAGCTCCAGTCAATTCTCCTGCCTCATAAACGTAAAAGCGTGGGGCTTGCCAAGAACCCAGCGATAGGAGCCCCCCCGAGCCTCTGCGCAGCATCTTCACGGCTGAGCGAAAAGAATGCACTAATTCAAATATTCGTAGTTTTCTTCTGCCATGAGTTTGATGGAAAGCGTGGAAGGGCCACGCGACCAGTGAGGAGCCGAGTACGGGAAGTGACCCTGGTAGAGGGGCTGGACTGAGGTCACGTCTCTTGGACGACCGCGTTTGGGTGCTCACAACTTAGACTCGGCGAAGGCATACAGATTATTCTTCTGAATCTAATGAGCTCCTTTGTTGTCAACAAGGTATCAACTTCGTCTACGACCAGATCTAGATGTGAAACGCACTCTATGAACTACTGCACATTGCCGTAGGCGCTGCCTCAGGGAGGCTCCTCTTAGTTGTTCAGCACAAAAAGGCCTTCTTAAGCAGAAATTTGACTGCTCCTCCCCGTGTCAATATTTACAGTGATTTGCGTGTGGGCACGTGAGAGCCTACCAACAGCGCGCGCAGGTAAATGGCCTTGCGCCTGCGATGCTGGCTCCAGGCTGCGACCACCAAGCGCAATACGCTTGAAGCATCACAAGCACCAATTCAAACTAGCTTTGGTGCACACTGGCCTCAAAAACATGGCTGTTCCAAGCTGTCGCTTACAGCCCCTACGGGATATGCGGTAACAGTTAAGCGCATTCCCCACAAACGGCAGAGCGCAGCTGCGGCAATTCAGAATGCTTGATGATCCATTCAACCGACCCGCATTCGATTTCGATACAAAAAATGCTGCGAAAGCTTAAATAACACAGAACTCTTCCAAGGGCAGCTTTCCCGTGCCACTTACCTCCAGAACACCAGAAAATATGTTAGCAACATCCTTCTGCAGCGTTGTGTCCTTGCCAGTAAGAATTTAGAAATCTTGTGCAACCATTCACCGTGCTCCAACCATATATGGGC